TGTTGTCAGCACCACACTCAGCCAGTGAGCTAACTGGCCATCCCTTTATAGGACCCGAACCTGTGGCCTTGGTGTTATCAGCACCGCACTCTCCCGAGTGAGCCATAGGCCAGCCCCTTATTTCCACCAACTTTAATGCCACACTTGCTTTTTCACTCTTACTAAAGAAACCAATATTCCCATCAGGATGAACAAGCCCAGAAACAGTATCTCATCCTCATCCAAGATTAGGAAATGAAGATTCGAATCCTTAACCCAAAAAGAAAAGGGACCGGTGGGGCTGGCTGGTTAGCTTAGTTGGTTAGAGCACAGCCTTGTAACACTAAGGTCAAAGGTTTGCTCCCTGTATGTGACAGATGCAAAAAAAAATAAAAGAAAGAAAGAAAGAAATGTGGTTGGTGCAGGTCTTCTGAAGAAACACTCTTCTGCAGGACCCACCTAGTGTTGGATGTGCCACTCTCTTATGTCACTCTCACATCTCACTTGTCTTGCATCAGTTTCTTCTGGTTCAGGGTAAAGCTCCATTTTTCTGACTGCTAATGTTACTTTCTTCAGAGTAGTGAGTGGAAACTTTAGACATGAGTGATGCCAGTAAAGGGCACTGAAGATAGATTCTACCACTCACCTTGGCTCCTCTGGTCCTGATATTCCCTAGGCATCTTCTCCTGACTTCCTGGAGCTTGTCAGACTATGCTCAGGTATCATTCCCTCAGTTTCTGGTCACTTAGGATCCCTGGTAAAATAAATCGGGTGACCAATATAACCTTTTCTCTCTCACATAGAAGAGCAGTGTCTGGGCCGGCCCGGTGGCGCACTGGATAGTGCGCCGCTTGGGAAGCGCGGCAGCGCTCCNGCCCTGAGTAGTTCCTTCTTTACAGGCTGTAGGGGAGCCTGTGCTTCTTCTTAGGATGGTGGTATTCAACCATCCTGGGAACCTGTTAGAAATATACATTCTTGGGGTCCACTCCAGATCCACAATCAGAAATTGAAAGAGAGGCCCAGCAATCTCTTTTTACAAGCTCTCCACGTGATTCTGATACACACTGGAGATTGAGACTCGCTCTTCAGGCTAACTCTTGGCATCCTGCAGTGGTGAGGGCAGGCGCAGATGTGGAAGGTGCGGAGACTCCTGATCTAGTCTCTTTTACTGGTTCTTACGCTGGGGGTGGATACTGGTTCTTACGCTGGGGGTGGATACTGGTTGTTTTGGGGGTGGATACTTCTGTTCCCTTGAGACTAGAACAGAAGGAAATGAGCTTATGCCATAGAATGACTGCATTAAACCATAAAGAAAAACATGCTAAATATTGGAAATATCAGGGGATCCATTCTTGGGTAGCACAGAAAATGTTTCATATGTTATCTTCAGGGCCTCTTTCTGTTCCACAGAACTGTGTGGAAGGTTCTTGGTGGGCCTTGCTTCTGGCACATGAGGGATGAATGCTCCCTGGCTGCCTGGCCTGTATGAGAGCTCCGAGTGTGTATTTGTTTCCTATGGCTGCTGTAACAAATTACCACAAACGTAGTGGCTTAAAACAACACAAATTTATTCTACAGTTCTGGGGGCCAGAAGTCTAAAGCAGGTCAGCAAGGCTGCATTCCTTCTGGAAGCTCTAGTGGAGAATCTGTTTCCTTGCTTTTTCCAGTTTCTAGAGGTTGCCTGCTTTCCTTGGCATGTAGCCCCTTCCTTCAACTTCAAAGCCAACAGCATATGATCTTTATCTTTCTCTCTCTCTCTGATCTCTGCTTCCATCTTCACATATTTGTTCCTGACCCTGACTTTCCTCTTACAAGGGTCCTTGGGATTATATAGGGTCCACCTGTAAAATACAGAATAGTCTCCCCATCTTAAGGCTCTTAACTTTATCACATTGGCAAAGTTCTTTCTGCCATGTAAGGTGACATATTCACAGGTTCTGGGGTTTTGGATATGGATGTCTTTGGGTCCATTATTCTGCCTACCACAGAATGCATGCTGATCAGTTGGCAGCCCCACGGATCAGAAAGGAGTGTAGGAAATGGATGGGGGAAGCCCTAGGAGAACAGTGACAGGGACTTTTACCCCTTGTGTGTTCACTACGGCCACCTACCTAGACCCTGTTGCTCAATTGTGCCCTCCTC